CTGATTATTGATTTAGTCTTATTGAAGTTAATCAACAGTGATGCTTTAAGTTTTCAAATCTAGTTGGTTTCGGTAATTGTGTTAAGTCAAGATGATGACAATAATATTATAAATAAACAATTTTAAAATATCACATTGTATATTTTTATATGGAATTGGGGAGGTAATTGCTTAGTTATTCCTCTTTTTTTCTTTTTGCAGACTTTTACAATGTTAACCTTATCTTTGAGAGGGGCTCAAACCATGGACCACTCAATGTGGACATTAAGCCCTGTCCAAACGGGAAATATTTCGCGATTAAACACAATCAAACTTTGTTAGGTGACCAAACATTTTCCTTTTTAGAGACCTTGTTTGATCATGTCTGATAAAATTTGAATGACAACATCAATTTGATCTCAAACATATAAAACATTTTGTTTGTTTCGACGGTGATCAAACAGTCATGTTTGATACCGTTTGGCTACTCACTACAACATCAACATGTTTGGAACACCAAACATTGTTTGATTGTGTTTGGATCACCAAACACAGTGGCGGATCCAGACTTTGAGCTAAGGGGAGGGCCCCGTTTAGTTTTACTTGCCCTGCCAGCTTTTCTTCCTTCAGTCATTTCTTCTTTTTTCACCCAAAATAAGGGTGGGCAGGGCCCCCTGGGCCAGAGCCCCCTGGGCCCCTCACCTAGATCTGCCACTGAAACATTGTTGGATTGTGTTTAATCACCAAACATTGCTGGATTGTGTTTGATCACGAAACATTGTTGAATTGTGTTTGATCACCAAACATATCCTGTTTGAACAGGGCTTAATGATTATGCACTGAATTCCAGTCTGAGTGGTCAGGGTTTGAGCCCTGGCCAGGGTTATGGTGTTGTTTTTGAGCAAACCATTTTACCCTCTCAATGCCTCTCTCCACCCAGGTGTACAAAGGATATATGGGTATCTGTGAATTACATGCAGCAGAAGGGGGAAGGGAGAATGGGGCTTACCTGAGATAGATTATCATCCCGTCAAGGGGGTGGGGGCGGGGGGAAACATACAACATATAACCATTTTTTTGGTATGACAGGGTGCATCAAGAAAAAAATCCTAAGTGACTCTTGATCTCATGTCAAATTCTCCTTTAATGTAGGAAGAGGCAAAAGGCAATTTGCTAGGAGAATCTTGCAGTCTATCAGAGGTCACTCAGGGTCTTTTTTCATGCACCCCTTCCTTTAATACCTGCTGATCCTTCAAGAAATGCGAGTAACACTGCCTTCACTCCACTTGGCTTCACAAGCCTGTTGGCTGCAAACYTTTTTCATCCATGTTGGAATCTTTCATTCCTTGATTACCAGTTACCTTTCCATTATAACCTGAAAATTGTTTCACAGAYTTGTTTTCTTTTGTTTTTGTTTTTTTTTATTGGCTGTTTCCCTACACTCATTGGTCCCCTCTGAAGTGTCAGATGTTCTCTTATTACTATTGCCTGATAAACACAGTCCCTGGAGTTCTTTGAAGATTCCGAGCACACAATTCTCTTTCAGATGGAGTGATAAATGATTTATAATACTATTATTGTTTCTAGTCATGTGTGGGGGTTCTGGAGCTAACATATCAAGATCACTTGACTGTAATTCGGATCACAGGAATCATGTTCAGCCAAGGGTTTAGCCTCCAAGCCATCCTTTCAAACATCAGGTGATTTTTTGCACACCTCGTCAACATTATCACAAAAATAATCACTGAGGTTCTCAGTAACATTTGTGATGCTGTGACCGGGATTCCAAGCTTGTCAAATCCGTTTTGCTTGATTTTACATTAAATAAGTTGATGTAATAGGAGCATAACAAGTCAGCAGCCTTGATAATATATCGCCAAGATGTCTAGACAAAACCAGAGCACCCAATGCAACGTGCGCTGT